GGCATTAGTTTTTTTTTATCCTGCCATTTTAGCTTGACTGTCAGCGTATGTTTTGAAATATAAAGAAAAATGGAAGAGGAAGTGTAATCACCTGGGAGTGATTTAAGACAGCATGCGACCCACAACCTTTGCAGATAATAAACTGAGTCTCAGCTGCAAGATTAAATACCTTATTTAGTTTTCTGGAACAGTACCACTGTAACACTACGTATCTCAGATGAACACTGTTTATTGTATTACTGGTCTTGAAATATTATACTCTAATGTAAAAGCAAATACCAGACAGCCTGTGTATTTTTGATAGACTGGTATAGTTAAACTAATACTCATTGTTACATAAATACATTTCCATATGAATTCCATTGCAGCCTTAAGAAACACAGTATAAATCCAAGTTACTCAGGTGAGCCAGTTAAAAATTTAGGTACGATATTCATAAAATGAAATTGTTTCCATTTGTGATAACTGAGAATGGCATAACTGTAAGCATAATAAGCAGTTCAAATGGAAGTCTGTAGTGACAAGTCTTCCCTTAATAACTGAAAAGGAGTTAGTTGTCTAACATTAGGAAGGTAGTAAGTGCATACAGTATTAATAAGCTGTGAAATATAATTCAAAATTAAGGCTCATTGCATATATGGAGGAAAGTAATTTGGAAATAAAAAGTTCCTTGAAATTGAATAGGTTTTTCCTGACAGTTATGCAGGTAGGAAGTGATTTATGTTCTAATGGATCAACCAGCAGGTCATGTCTCAAATCCGTGTATGAGCCAAGCTTTGTATCCATTAGCTTTGTAACACATGTGAAGGTGTTAGCTATGATCATGGTTTCTCAAGGGTAGCATGACTTTCTTAAGCTCCACATTCTCACCTGGAAGCACCCTAAATTCTCCCTGACAGGGCTTACAGGCATGTGTCAGAAGTTATTCTTGGCACTGCTGTTTTATAATTTCAAAACTGAAATTGTTTCATATTTTTTTTCTTTCAAGATATGGAGAGTAGACATGAGTGCACTGTGAAGTATGACAGTCTGTTTTCTACTTCTGTCCTTCACACAGAATGGTAGAAGTGGGAAGGGACCTCTCAAGGTCATCTGGTCCAACCCCCCTGCTACAGAAGGGCCACCTAGAGCTGGTTGCCCCAGACCATGTCCAGATGGCTTTTGAGTATCTCCAAGGATGGGGACTCCACCACCTCACTGGGCAACCTGTGCCAGCGCTCAGTCACTCTCACAGTAAAAAAAAGTGCTTCCTGATGTTCAGAGGGAACCTCCTGTGTTTCAGTTTGTGCCCATTGCCTCTGGTCCT